CATGGTAGTCTTCATCTCATATTTTTTTGTCTAGATCTCTTTGTTGCTTTTTGGCATAGTTTTCATGTTGGCTTGAGAAGCTCTAGATTCTCACACCAGTCTTGAGCTCTTTAAATCCTCAAGTCCCAACCAATTTTTGTATAACCGATTCCAGAAAATTTTATGAAGAACATTTTGATGAGATAATATTGCATTTTACTTTCAAGCATGCACATTTCTCCAACTAAAATTCAGTGCAGTTGGAGTCATGGTGATTAGACTTTCATAATATGGCTTTGCAGGTAAAAGTGAATTTGGTAGCCCTCTCCCGAGATGGTTCTACCATGGGCACAGTTGAAACTAGACTTCCTGAAGAAGGAATAGGTGGCTTTGTAAGTCTTAAGTTCTGGGCATGTGGCTCTCAAAACAAAGACTTCAGCTTATCTACCGTCATATACGAACCACACAGGTTTATCATCCTTAAATCTTCTATTACTTCTATATTGCAGTAGCATGTGATTTCATAGGAAAACAGCCTGTCTTCCCTTTCATGTATAATATTCTACTCCTGTTAACCTAATATTTTTTTTCCTTCCATAAACTGTGAAGGGAGGCTAGTGTCTCTTCTATTGCATTCCATCCAGATTGTCATATGGCTGTTACTTCCTCATATGGTGGCGATTTCAAGGTTGGTGGGCCACTTCAAGTGCTTTCTTATGTAAATTTTCCCTTAATAATAATTTCAGATTCGCAGATTTGGGTTTGCACACATGACACCCACTTGAAGGACCAGATGCTTCAGAGTAGTGGCTGGAGGTGCCATGCTGTTGGTTCATACAAGTATTCTCTCTCTGCCCAACTAGTGTGTCTTTCATTTTATAGATAAATCAGATTAAACGTCGTTTAGACTATTGTAATGTAAAATATCTACAAATTTGAACAGAGTGTCTAGGTTATAAATCTCTCCAGGTTTTGTTATGCAACTCACAATTATGAACTTCATTTCTAATTAGTTTCACCTTGGTGCCAAGGCGTTTTATCTGATACAAGCATTTATTATGACAAGAAATGCCCATTTACTAGGAGGTTGATATATGTTAAAAGTAAATTTGCATACACATAATAATGATTTTTTTTTTTTTTTTTTTTGGATAGGAAGAAGCCTATGACAGCTGCTGCATTTTCTGCTGATGGGTCTGTTTTGGCTGTTGCTGCAGAAAAAGTTGTTACATTGTGGGATCCTGATCAGAATATTCTGGTGGCTGTAATTGGAGATACTCTTGAGGTAAAATTATAGAGCTGTCTGTTGCTGATTTTTTATTATTTATTATTTATTTTTTTTGGAGAAAGAACCGTTGAGTCACCGAGAAAATTATATTTCCCTTGGAGATATCCACTGTGAGATTTTTAGCACTGGTCTTTCCTTAATCCCTGTCTACTTATTTTGCGTACTTAACATATTTCAAATCATCAAAATGATTTATGATTATTTGAAAAATTACTTTTTGCCATAACAGCCAATTGTGACGCTCTCATTTGTTGGGAAGTCGACATATCTTATGTCAGCATCACGAGGTTCAAACCCACAATTGACTTTATGGAGTATGTCAAAGCTGTCTATATCTTGGTCCTACAAGCTTCATACAGAAGGTCTGTATTCTTATTTCTTTCTAGTTTTTCCCCCGATAGAAGAAGCAAGAGTCAGTTGTAAGATTGGAGAAAAGGGGATTTGTTGTCTTTTGATTTTGTCTGTTTTTGTGTCAAAATCTAAGATGAAGTATTTCAATACAACTATTAGCTGGGACAATCATGAAAATATGATGCATTCACTCAAATAAAGATCATCAAATGTATTCACCATAACCTTTCGGTGCCACTGGATTGGACCCCTTGTTTAAAGCACAAAGATAATTTGATAGCTTTACGTATAACTGTATGGTTCTAAGAAATTTTAACTATTTTTTCCGAAACAAGATATGGCATACCAGTTGAAAATGCTTCTTCATCAGTAAATCTTCTTCTTGGTTAATATTGTGTTATCTGTGCAGATGTAACATGTTCAGGGGACAGTTCCACCTTTGCTGTTCTTGCCCTTCTCCCTAAGACATCTGAATGTGTGGCGTCTACTGAGGCCACATTACAGGGTTTCGATGGGGCAATCTTACTGTTCAACGTAGAAAATCCAGTTCCCTTGGCTACCTGGTTTGTGAGCAAGGTAAACTTATTTTTATAAACTAGTAAGATTAAATGTGAATACCTTCTGCTGCTTAGAGGAGGGTAAAATCTGGTATTGCTTGGTTGGTTTTGTAACAAGGAACAAGCCCAGTTCAAGATGTAACTGCAACGAGTTTCAGCCTTTAAAGTAAATGTTTCACTTGAGGCATGGCACCTTGTATTAAGATTTGATGTCTCTTATACTCATATTGCAGGCTCAGGGCGGAAGACTTGGTTTCATTCAAAAAAGTCCTAGATTGCCAGATGAAGTTACAGATGTAAAATCAGCCCACGATTTGCTGGCATACATGGATAGTAATTATGAGTATGTTCTCTTCAATCCCTATGGTAAACAAGGCCATAACCAGAGTATTACTCGCTGGCAGAATCTAAGCAACCTTGAGGAAAAAGGTAATACACTGTTTTACCTATGTGGTCAAAACCGGACTGGCATTTCGGTGTCTCCAACCGGAACTGAGTTTTCTGGTTTGTTTAGTCTTTTAAATTAAATTATTAAAAAATGAAAAACTAATTTAAATGTCCTCAAGGCCAAGATAGTAAACGTCTATATGCCCAATGAAGACAATTTTGCATACTATGGCCCACCATTTTTATAATTCAATTCATCATCAACCTTTTTTTTATTACAAGCTAAGTAGGATTCTACCACCCATAATATATTCTGGTTCATTAATTTTCAAGGCAGGCGATGTGGGACTATGAAAAGAACTGTAAAAGTGCTAAAAAAGGGAAAAAAAATCATGTTGTTAATTTTATTATTATTAATAATAATGTGATACTGCAATTGTTAATATTTTTGATTGAGAAAATGTAGAAAGAAATTTGAAGCCCAAAATAAATTATTGATTCATTGAATTTGATGTTAATTATCATTCGAATTTACTCTTTCCCATCTAAATTTATTTTAATGATACAGTAAAATACTATTAAAAGATTCAAGCATTCATCGAGTAAATGCTTGAAGTTTCTGTTTTTTTTTTTTTTGTATCGTCTCATTTTCCAAGCAATTTCAAGTATATTATTGTTTGTGCCTTGCTACATTAACAGACATTACGAGTATACTCATTATAATAATGTATAAATATTTTTCCTGGCAGAAAAAATTGGTTATGCATCCATCTATGGTGAACTAACGGAATTCAGTGTGGAAAAAGATCAAACTCATATCCCACATATACCGTATGAGAAGAACTGGGAAACATTATTTAGTGGACCATCTCATAAACTTGCTCCTCTTACCAAGTTGTGTTTGGATTTTTTGGAATCATCACTCGAAAGGAGATCTGTCACTGTGGAATGAACTGTATGGAGTGCTATTTCTATAGCATCAAAGCGCCGATTTTGAACAGACGGGAATCACTACATTGACTATGGAAATTTTGACAAAGTTATTATTCAGGTATTTTCGTTTCTGTACTGGGGCAGATGATATTGCAGTTATCAATTGAAGTACCTACAGTTAACCAGATATTCAAGTAAGATACGGAGGGGCGACCGAAAAAATGTCAACCATTTGCCCCTCGTGGATTCAAGGTTGGTGTATGATGGTAAAAAATGTCAACCATTTGTCCCTCGTGGATTTGAGGTCGGTGCATGATGGTATTAGTTTACTCATACGTATAGCAATAGTTGCTCTGCAGACTGGTTTTATGAATTATTAGCAGCAGCAGAGAATTTTTTTTCTGAACTGAAGCTATTATTTTTCGTAGTAGTATTTTTTATTGGCAAGTTCTAGTTCCAAGTGTAGTTGAAACTAATTTGATTTTATTCGTTAGGTAACTGCGAAATTGTATACAAAATGATTCGTTTGTTGTATGATTAGTTGATTACTTTTCTATTATTGGACCAATATTAGGAATGAGGTAAAATATGTGTTCAACTCTATGAAGAGATCCATTAAACTTGATTACAGTAACATTATTTTTAGTTGATATTGGTATGGTGGTTGCAGTTCAATTATAACTTATCATTATTTTGATTAAAAATTAAAAATGGGATCCACTAATCATCACTATAGGTGAAGTCAATGGGACATGATGCTCAATTTTATTATTTTTGGATTAATTGTCTTGAGATATACACTTACTAGATAATAACACAAATTACTATTCCAGCTATTATATTAATTGAGTTGATTCGATTCGATTCATTATTATTATAGCTCGAGAGAGCTTACGACCTCGTGGATGCAAAGGGATGAGCCTTTATATTCATATCAATGCTAATTTAGTAAGTTTTGTAAGTTGACTCTTTCTACGGTTCAAGTACTCACTTCTTTTAACTCATTGTATTATACTTATGAACTTGTTCATTTTTTAGTTTCTTATCATTTGAAACGAATTTGTAATCTAACAATATGTTTGGTTTGATATATTTGATTGGACTTAAAACACATGTTCTATTTGTCTATTATCTTTTTTAAAGGTTAAAAATAAACAAATTAACTATTGCTATCAATGTATTTAGAGCATTTATTTACATTTACCTTGTATATAACAATTCCCAAATCCAATTCTTCTTACAAATCCAATACAAGGACAATTACATTTGTACATAAACGGATGACAACGGAGGTTGACAACCTCTCACATGCATGTGGACCCCATGTGATTAAAAAAATTTCTGAAAAAAACGGGCCTCCCCTATTGTGAGTGTTCGATCATCGACATTGTCATCCATTTTGGTACATATAGCATGATTGCCAATACAAACATACAATACATAATATAGGCATTCAATAATCAATGGAAGCACAAAAATCAACTGTAACTTACATAACCAAATATTCAAGATCCATGAGAGACCCGACCCGCCATACCATCTGTCCCGGGTCCCAATCCCCGCATTTCTTCCCCACCTGAAATCACCATACCCGGATAAGAACCCGGTATTGGAGCAGCAGCATCTCGGGTCCTGTAATAAACTGTTTGGTTTGCACTTTCCTGCATAACCCGGGTAGCCATTTCATATGGCATCACTCCAGCACCATAAACTTGATTGACACCGGTTACGGGTTGAGATTGAGGATACCCGACTGGTACTTGACCCGGAGCAAGAGGGTTTTGTGGTATATACTGAGTCCGGATTGGAACAGGTGGAAACGGATTACTTCCGGATTGTACAGGACCCGGAACATAATACACAGCAGGAGTACGTACATGTTGCATGGTTTGAATCGGGTAGTGCCATATCGGAGCACCCGCAAACCCGGACTGCGGATGACTCATTTTGTCAGTTACCACCTCAGTCACACCCTCAATGGTTTGACTATACTTGTGCTCAACTGCAGGAACTGGGTTTGGGTTAACAGGTTTGGTTCTAACCGGCGGAAGATCAGGAATCCTAGGTGTGCTTGGAGGAGCCAGAGATGATGACGTGGAGCAAAACGGCGAAGAAACAACCGGAGCTGGTGAACCCGGATCCGAAAAGGATACATTGTCGTTCAAAAGATTCTTGTTCTTTAATCTGGATTCTCTTATAGCATCATCCGAATTATCCAACCCGAATAAATAATCCGGAACTTCGGACACAATTGACGAGACTTCGGACCTCCCACGCTCCAGAACCGGACCCGAGCCGCCGTTGAGAGCATCGAAAAACCAGTTTTGCCGCTTAACCGAGCCGTCAAGGAGGGAGCTGATGCTAGAAGCTCTTGAATCAGCATCCGTTGAGAAGAGAAAAAGCCTGAGCCTAGCCATTTTCTGATTCTGGCTGAGCCGATCGTATTCGTCCATCATATTCTCTATATCCTCATCTGTAGTTACAGTGATTAAAGAATCCAGGTCTTCGCTCGGAAGCTGGTACTTTATGCTTATGCTGGTTGTACTGGAGAGCTTGGAGAGTTTCGAGAGAAAACAGGAGAACGTGATATGGCGCTGGACAGCAACAATTCGGGTGTCGCCGCCTACATAACGGAGCTGGTTGTCGTGTGGTCGTGGGAGAATTTTTCCGCCAAAGCTACACATGAAACGAACCCGTGCATGTTGCACGGCGGTGAGATCGTCATGTAGGTGGTGGTGCTCCGACCTAGGCGTGGAGGAGACCGAGTCAGCCGTGCCGGAATCCAACTCAGTCACCGGGTGAGTCGACGCCATTAGTTCTGCAAATTCAAATTCAGATACAACAAAAAGAAGTTAAGCCCATTTATAATCAAATCAATATATATATATATATGCACACAATTGTGTATAGTTACATACAGTGTGGTGGTGGAGGAGGACGAGCGGCAGAGACAACTCTTAGCGTACGAAATTGTTAAGAATGTCAGCGGTGATGAGAAAATTTAAGAAGATTCGGCTGTCCAAATATGTAATTGGTGCAAAATGCTTACATCATATGGTTATATTTTCTTAAGAAGGAATAACTTTGGCATCTTCAATAATTGAGTTGGATTGTCATCACCATGTCTTCCAACAATTGATCTCTTTTTTACTTATAAATACTATATTAGTGTCACGCTCGAGTGTACAAAACATATTCCGTATATAGCACAACAAGATCATCAACAATTAGACATATAATATATATTACGAGGAGCACACTGAGATGTCAATATATGTTGTCATTATGAAATATCCTACCTATAAATTTACTTGTATGTCGGTTGTTTCAGGCTTACACGCTTAATCAAGGGAAGAAGGCTGCTTGGGACGCAGGTTCTCGGGAGAGAGATCAACGGTCCGTGAAACTTGGTCTTATTAAAAACACTATTCGTATAAAACTAGAAAATAAAAGAAGATTAATAAATTTTCTACCTTTAAAATAGAGGAGATATTTTTTTGTAAAGTAAAAAGTGGGTGGTTTTAAATATTTGGTCGGCAAAAACAAATATTAATTAATTATTTGAAGCCGTAAGAAAAATGACATGTAGCCAATAGGAAGTATGGAGTCTACATCGTCCAATTGCCAATAGTAGTGCACAAAAGCTAATTGATGCGACAATGCTCTTCAATTATCATTTTCAATTAAGGTCCGCAAAAGAAATTTATTTTGACACCATCTATGAGACTTTCTAATTGGTTCTAAAATATCATGGTTTAAAAATTGGACAGTACATCAATCTTAAAATAGTCGAGGGTCAAAGTTAATCAATATGCTCCATTACGTGTAGAATTGTTAAAGCCTTTGTCAAAGGTCAAAAAGTGAAATGAATGACAACGAGACTTTGTAAGTGCGGACATTGAATCATCTCATTTAGTAGCCATTTAAAACAAAATGCGATTATAATGCTGGTGTGGTAGGGTAAAACAAATTGAATGGTATCAAATTATTCAATTGTACGAATTGAGATTCGCCTCGACTCGACCTACCTTTGTACCCTAGTCTTGGGGGAACTGGGAATTGCACTTGGGGTGGTCATTCCGGGACCAAAGAAGTAGTAGAAGTAGAGCTGTCAACTTTGAGGAGGGCCCAAGTTTCTTAATAATCTTGTTATTTCTCAATTATCTTTTGTCTCTAAGGAAAAAGTCTAGCCTCGCTCCCTATTCCAATTGCAACCAATCGAAGCAACTTAAAGGCTATTCAAGTGTCATATAAATATTCAAAAAATAATGTTTTGCAAACATAAGGGTGAAATTGAAAATTTGAAGTTTCTTCTAACTCTAAATTTGAGATGAAAGATCTGGTCGAGCAAAGAACTCTTGACATGAAAATAACTAGAAATAGGGCACAAAAAGTATTATTATACTTCACACAAAAACCTATCTAGAAAAGGGTACTTAAAAGGTTCAATATGGCTGAGCGCAAGTAGGGGCGGAGCTAGCGCTAGCCCGTCGAAGTAGGGGGGTCCTAAAGTTGAAGGGGGGCATGGGGGTTCGGGAGCAGAGCCCTTAAATTTTTTTTTTTGAAACATTATCTGTTAAAATGAGGGAAGTTGGTACTTTATAATGGAGAAAGGAAATAAAGGAATATAAATTAATGTACATTATTAACAAAAAAATCAAGAAACGTATAAAAGAAAGTATTAATCTTTAATTTAGCAAAATCACACTTTATTACAAGCGTTCCTTTCGAATTTAAGTTTTTGGATTGATAGAGTTTAAGTTTTTTATTCATTTGAGGACAAAATGGTAAATACAGAAACAAAATTTTAAAATAAAAAAACGTGCCCGCCTAGGTGGAGGCTTGGGGATTGGAAAGAACGTCCCGCCTAACGTTTAGACAAAAAAATTGACAATCAACTCTGTATCAATTTCATCTGTTCACATAGTTGATGTTTGCCTGAATATCAATCGAATATTTAATGGTGTACTTTTATACTTGGTACAATCCATCCTAAGTCACAAACGTTTGATTAGCGCAAATCCTAGGTACTTGGCTTGGGATAATCAGACAGTTAAGTTGCAAGTTCATGGGTTGGTTCGCTTCGCTAAGGAATGAAAATGACAATTGCTTTGACAGTTTAGAAGTTGAAATATGTTGAAATTAGTCCACTCACCCTTTCTTTTTCCTACCAACCCCTTTCTTCTGTATTTAAAGAGAACAAGTACTGATACATAACCTATTCATTATAAATATTTAGATGAGAGCGTCTAGCAGATAAAATTTCATTGCGAAAAATAAAATTTTTTGCGAAAAATAAAATTTTTTGACTTATCTTTTGAAAATTCCAATTTCGGGGATTTCAATGTTGCCTTGTTGCTATCAACTTCTTAAAACTATCTTGCTCTTCTTACCCTTCAACTTTTATTACAAAATGCATAGAATGACTCGTCTGGTAATAGACATTCTTAGTATTTGATGCAGAAGTGTATGAATGTTCCTAGTTTATGAAAATTTAGTATAGTCTTACATAAAAGATGCTGCTGCAAATTTCTAGATTATTTT